CATGTGTGCATATAAAACTCTATATAAAGACCTTTCTAGCATGTGTGTAGAGATGAGAAACAGACTAAAAGAAACAAACATTTTTATTGGTTATTAACAAATTGATAATGAATTTTGGTTTCCCTCTTAAATTCTTATTCAAGTAAAGCATGACAATTACTTTTAATATTGTATGTAAAATATAAGTTATTAAAATGTTTTCTTCTTTTATTTCTTATTTTCAGAGCCAAAGCTAAATTTTCTGATGAAATAGATGATGAAGGAGAGAAAGAAATGATTGAATTTTATGAAGAGAATACAAAGGCTGAACTTGCAAAGAAGTGTCAAGACCAAGTTGCAGCAAGGGTCCTGTCGGTGATGTTTAGTCATATGTCGATGTTTAGAGATGATGATGAAACAGACTCTGAATACTCAGAGTCTGATGATGAAGAAGAAGAAGAATTTATGAATTATGAAACACCTTCTATTTCTATCCATGACAGAATTAATTTGTTTGAAAGTGGAACTGTTGCACATTTTCACACCCCAATGAGAAAGAGGTAAGTTTTTCGTATATTAGATATTTTTCAATAAAAAGGATCTCTAACAGTTGAAAACATGAAAAAAATTATGATTATGTTGAATCAATTACTATGTTTACTGCTAGGAAAGTTGGTGCACTGTGTTGTGCTAGACAATTTTTCTTGTCAGGATCCATCTCGCACATTTATAAATTTACCAATATTCCATGTATTGAATATTGCTACCATATCTGGTCTTATCCTCCCACTATATATCTACCTTTTGTCCCAGATGTTATAATGTTTATCTTCCAGAAAGTAAGTAAAGTACTGATATAGGAAAATATCATTAAAGAAAAAAAAAAAAAGAGTGCTGGTAGTAAATGCTGGACAATTTCCTTACAGGTGAAGAAGAAACTTGAAGTAGCATAGATGTGATTCTTGTGACAAATGCTAAGAATACCATAAACAGAACATGTGAGCAATGTGGAAGTCTTAAGGGAAATAAGAACAACAAGTAAACTTATATTTACAATCAGATAGAGACAGATGAAGTTTCTGGGACACATAATGAGGAAAGACAGACTAGAGAATTTAACACTCACAAGTGTAATCAATATCAACATCAATCACAACTTCAATCACAACTTCAATCACCTCCTCATCAATGGCTTGATTCTGTCTCTACTACAAATATTTTCATGGCAACTGTTCTGATAAGCTTTTTCCCCCTAGTGCTTCAACTACAGAATATATTGTTGTCAACAAGATGCAAACTAGAAATTAGAAATACTAAATCAAACAAGTATAAAAATTTAAACATCTAGGAAGTGTTTTAACAGAGGGTGGAAAATGTGACACTGAAATCCAAAGGCATATTGGAAGAGGGAAATATGCTTTCCAAATGTTAAGAGCAATGAACTAAGAAATAGGAAATTTCATTGCAAAGGAAAGAGTACTGAAATGTTATGTAATATTGTTCCTCTTATATGGTAGTAAATGCTGGACAGTCTCCTCACAGATGAAGAAGAGACTTCAGACAAGGGATGCTGAGAAATACCTTGGACTGAACATATGAGTTACAAGGAAGATGTAAACAAAAATGATACTCCTATTTTTTTTATTTATTTTTTTTAAGCATTTCACCTCTAGCAAGGTGGGAATCCACTAGCACACAAGGGGTTATAGAGGATTTGAAACGAGAGCAGATAGGAATGATAGAGGAAAGTATAAGGAGAAGGATAGTGGATAGATGAAGGCAACTGGAGATGTTAATTGACTTTACATTTGAATATTTGGAGATTATAGCTACCAGGGAAACAGGAATAGGGAAGAGATAATTTGAAGCAAAGTATTACATGTTTCTCTCCCAGTGGCATTATGGTCTTGCTTGGGATGAAATGGTTAGATAAAAAACAACACTGAAAATACAATAGAATTTATTTAAAAAATAGAAACAAATTACCTTTCCTCAATATCTTGTTAAACTTCATAAGTGTACAAATTTTGTGCTTATGATCTGTTACATTAATATATGCTCCCTTGTATTACCATTTAATAAATACTCCCTACTCAACAATAAAGAAAAATGCTCCTTACTCAACAATAAAGAACAAGAATATTATTCTCACCCTTTAATATATTCTTTCCTCTCTCTCTTTTTTTTTTTTTTATCTCTCTCTCTCTTTTCCTGTACTTGAGTAAAGCCTGTTGCAGGCAAGTTTTCTCTTTAATTAAACTTGTGTCTGACATGTTCTTTCAATGACTTAATGTAACATGTTCAGTTTGTTATCAGCAACTTATCAAATGATTATTTCTTTTCTTGTAGATTACCATCTTATGCGGCTGATTTCAGTTCATTCCAACAGGCTTCTGATACTAGTGGATCTCTTTTAACATTCCAAGAAGAGGGTGACGCCTCAGAATCAGATTTACGGAGTGTCTTGAAACGAAGTGGAAATCTCGAAGCATTGCTGTATGAAGATGGAGTACTTGAGTAACAACCAGAAAAAAACAACATTTCATCTTGACTAGATTTTTAAATATTTGTTGTTTTTTTTGTTTTTTTAGAGTAACAAAAAAGACAAATTTAAAAAATTAATTAACGAATGACAGCAGTCAAATAAGGAAATGATAATCAGGAGAAATTTAATGACAATTATCAAATTGATATTGAGGATGGTTTAAAAAAAGGAAACACAAAAAATGTGATTGTATTCAGAAGGGATAAAAAATAAAAAGAAGGGCAGTTGTGATGTTGTAGATGGTGGGATAGGGAGAGCTGGGTATAAGGAGATACAGTATATACTTTTAAAAAGTAAGAAAGAATGAAAGACGAGATGTGGAAAAAAAAGCCGACAATCATTGGAAAGATAGAGAGGTGACTGACTTCCAGACCTACTTTAACAGGCCTGCTTAATCTTCCCAACCATTCCAAATCAGAGAAGGTTACCTTTATACCATCCATTTTTTTTCCTTCTCATTTAACCTGCCAATTCTATCTCGGTCATTGTTGATTCAAGAGTAGAAATAATTTTCATTCTCCTCCTCTGTATCCTGCAAAACCTCCTCTCATTAATTTATCTTCCACCTCTTTCCTTCCTTACTTTGCTTTTCTTAGATCTTTTTTTTTCCTTTCCTCATGATCCTCTCCATCCCATAATTTCCAGTTTTGTCTACTGCTCTTCTTTTAAAGTTTTTCTTACCTTATGACTCACTAAAAATTTAAAAGAAATAAAAATTCAAGCAATGCTGTAATTGTGATTGGAACATAAAACCTCCCATTTAGAAAAATAATAAAATGTTACTAAAATAAAACCTGTGTAAATGTGTATGTTAGAGTTTGAATGCAAATAAGTATGAATGGATTTATGCCTATATAAGTATGACTGATATCTTTGTGTTTGTATATATAGTACATTTATTTTAAAGAAAAATCAGTAATAATAAACAAAAGAGTGCAATGATTTTTTAACTTTAACAACCAACTTGTATGTCACACTTGGTGGCATAGATATGTACCTATATCAACTATAACCACAGATTATCAGAAATCTTTATTCTGATTCTAGGTGTGCATACAAGTAAAATATGCTATATCTGATGTGTACTGGTTAGTTTTCATTAATATGGAAGCAGTATTTTTAATATAAACCATTCATTTGCATATCAGTAAACCACCATAGGTTTCTTGAAAAATATTACAAGAATTTTATTATAAAATTTAATTAACTAACTTTAGTTTCATGAGATTTCCAGATAAGAGCTAATCAGAAAGTATCTTATAAAGTTAAAAATGTTTGGTTTTAAAATGTCCTTCAGTTTCTTAAAAAGACTCCAAAAGAGATTTTTTTCCCAAGTTGTCAAAAAACTTGAAAATACTTGTTTTGTTTCTTTAAGAGATTCAACATGAACATTTCCATTATCAGCTAAATTTTTTTTATTAGATATTAATGATAATATTATTAGTTTGTATATCTAAAAAATATCAGTAATTGATTTAATGTAAACCTTTTTTTCTTTTTCTTTTTTTTTACTTTAAAGAACCACCAGAATATTTTTATGAGAATTTTGCCCAAAATGATACTTTATAATATTTTTTAGGCAGGGAGAATATCATTATTTGTTTATTGGTCATCTTGCTTTTTATTTGTTTTAAGCTCATCTGAGAAGAAAGCTAAAGAACCTTCACATCTAAATTCTTATTCTTCTGTTATTTCTTGTAAGATTCAAATAGTAATGACATTGATTCTTTTACTTATGATGGGCATTAAAGGGTTGAACACTCAATCAAAACTTGATCAAGTTTTTTCCACCAGATTATATATTATAATCATCCTCTTAGTATTCTTATAAAATCTATTATTTTCAACAATATGCATTAACATTAATTTTATAAATGATTTGATTTTTAACTCATTTTTCTACTTAAGTTAAATATATAACCAAGTAGATCATATATATATATATATATATATATATATATATATATATATATAGTTAACATCTATGGCTATGCTTATCATTAAAATAAAAATGGTAATCTGATAATTTGTGTTTTTCAAGAACTTTGGTGATACTTTATATTTATATCTGTTAATACAGCTTCAGTTGTGAATGTATGCAAAATCAAAAATTTGACATCCACATTAATGATATATACTTCCTGGAGATAAGACACAAAAGCATTCTTATATACCTGTGTACTTAACCCCTAACCCCCATGTTTTGTCTTATATGAGAGGATAAAGAACAAATCGGAAACATTTGTAAATATAACGTGTTTTTATTAAAGCTTCATCAGAGAATGACATATAGAGAAAAGGAGAAATTCTGGTATTTTTATTTTTGTGCTGTTTGATTTTTTAACAGCACAAAAATAAAAATACCAGAATTTTTTTTTCTCTATATCTCATTCTCTGATGAAGCTTCAATAAAAGTGGAACATTAGATTTATAAACATTTCCTATTTGTTCTTTATCCTATCATTCTGTTGGATTCTGATCCATATATGATTTATATATATATATATATATATATATATATATAAATCAATTCCAAACAATTCCTACTTTTTTTTAATTTTATTCATCAGACCTAGATGGTCACACACATTTGGGTTCTCAAAAATCTTTTGAAAAAGATTTTTAAAAAATAGATTTTTAAAAAAATGGAAAACAAATCTCTAAATTCCAATTATGCACTTGGCTGCTTAAAAAAATATAAGCATTGCACATATCTGACTAAAGTTACCTCTTACAAGGGATGTATATACATCCACATATATAAACCTATACATTCTCTACATCGTGTGTGTGTGTGTGTGTGTGTGTGTGTGAAAAGGATAGTTTTAAGAGGCTTATGCTTTGATTTGGTTGTGAGGTTAAAACAAAGACCTGGGCACAACTCATAAAATTGGGAACAGCTAAGACAAGACTTATACATGAAATGATTTCTGATATCAAGAAAAATTTCCTTTTATTTAAAAGAATAAAGATTCTTTTGCAGTCATATATGAAATCAAACCAAATTTTCAAGGATCAGGTGGAAAATAACAATGAAAATAAAAAAAATAAATTTTAATTGCATTGGTATGTTTTTTTGGGGTTTTTTTTTGCCATCCTTGTCCCAACCAAATGCAATGAAGCTGGTAGATGAAAATAAATAAATATACTGTTTAATAAATAAATAGAGCATCTACTGAAATATGGGTATCCAATAGAAATAATGTTTAAGTAATAAAATCTGTTGGATTAATAAATAAACATGCATAACTTCTTTAGAAATTGCTTTAAGTTAGGATACGAAAATGAGTAGTGTGAATGTTTTAAGAGTTGGAGAAAGATTTGTGCTAATAAGGTGCATTAGTTGATCATCAATGCACTTTGTGGCTGAGATGGTCTAAAGTACATCAGATCTAACAACAGTTTCCCCTGCCAAGGGGGACACAGGTTTGAATCCTACTGGAGAGTGCATGTTTTTCTTTAATAAGATTTTCTTGAATATTCAGGGAAGTAGACCGCAAAAAATATACTATTTAATGAATAAACATAACATCTACTCAAATATAAGTATCAACTAAAATCAGTTTTCATATATATATATATATATATATATATATATGGTGAATTTCATCTTACCATTAAGAAACTGATTAAAGAAATAGAAAGGATCATTATGAAAATAAATAGATACTATATGTCTATATTATTCAATGAAACATGTTTAAATGAAGATATACTGCCTAAATATACATATTTATATAAATAGTATATGCAGTAAATGAATGCATACATGTACACCTTATGATATATTCATATATTGTATATAGCAGTATGTATATTAAGATCCTTGTACTTCCTATTATCAGTAGATTTTCCTTAGAGGGCTGTTTTTGGCAACACTACAGAGATATCCGGCTTATTCTCAAACACTGCGTGGTCATTGTATCTAAATCTGACTTGTTAACACTAACAAATCAGTAGCCTCACTGTGGTAATGTATGTACACTTACATTACTTTGTTATGTCCTATACACACCAGTTGTGTCTTGGTCCACATCTTTTCTGCTATATAAAGGCTGAAATAATACTGTTAATATTCATCAGCAGATTTCAGCCCCTAGAGAAAAAATAAATACATTTTAGATTTAAATTTATGCCTATACATAATGCTGTGACTGAAGCCATATTTATTTATTTATTTTGTAAAAGAATAAGCATGCGAAGATCAGAGTTGCTGCACAAATTCTTCCACACTTGATACATACATTTTTACATGTACTCAAACTTACATTGCTAATGTGTATAAAATATAAGTACTGTATGTGTGTGCGCATGGGTGGCTGGTTGCATTTAAAAAAAAGGTCTCCTTTCATTTGCTTGCTCAGTTGGTTGGTTGCTTTTTTTTTTTTAAAGAAGCCTTTCTGTCTTGCACTGTTTCTTCTTCAAAAGGTCTGAAAGTCTTTCAAGAGTCTTATATTGTATAAAGAATGACATTGAAACTATTACTATAGCAAGTTATTGTTATATTGGTCATCAGCTGGTTAGAAGCTCTATTCATTTGTCATTTATATTAGGTTGGTGCAAAAATAATGTCGTTTTTTTTACGTTAAGTTGAATGTCAAAAATCAACATTATTTTTGCACCAACCTAATACAACAATAAGGCTGAAAAATAAAATTAAAAAAAAAAAGAAACATTTTTAGCTGTTTAGAAATCAGAAAACAAGGCTTTATCTTTGGCTAAACACTGTAGTAAATTATATATATACATATATATATATATATATATATATATATATATATATATATTTTATTTATTTTTTTATTTTTTCTTAATTTGTTATATATCCTGGTATGAAGGCTTTGTCTCTTTGGAAAATATGTGCACACTGCTTTGGAGATATCCTAAAAAATTCTCTTTAGGGATTTTCTATAAAAAAAAAATGGAAAAAAAAAAAGGAAAAGGGAAAAAAAAAGAAAAAATTTAATTTATATATC